ATGCTGGCCAATGCCTTGGCAATCCTTAGCGTCTTGTTGGCAGAGAACCTCTTCTGAAGGAAAGCGATGAGAGCGTGGAACCCGGCCAGGTACTGATAGGGCTCCTTGACCGACTCGTATATCCACGATGGATCTCTCTGCCTCTTTCCCAGGATCGATTGGGGCCCGCCTTTCTGCGCCGCACTAGGCTTTCCCTTGTGACGGGCTCCGACACCTGTCAGGGATTGGGTTCCGCCCAGGCCGCCGAAATTGCCGCTCGGTGAGCCCTCGAAATTGAAATTGGTCGGTTGTGGACTCGCCGTCGTCTCGGTGCTGGGGCTATGCAGACTATTTGGGCCGGCGGCGATGGCATAGGCGTGTGGCAAGCCATGCTGGAGATTGCCCTGCTGATACAGGCCGCTTGAAGGGTGATCGAGGTTCAAGAATTCGCTACCTATGCCATCATAGGATTGACCAAACTGGCCGTTGCCGTTGCCAAAGACACCGGCGGATCCAAAGTTGATGTCGCCGCTGCTAGGTCCAGAAAGAGAAGGGTCGCGCGGTGGTGTCTCCCCAGCCCCAGAGGACATGTGGCCCAACATGCCAAACTCCATGGCACCATACTGGCTGCCGAAGTTGAGGCCTTCCAAGTCAAAGTTGAAGATGGCGGGGTTGCTGGGGTCGAAGAGTGTATTGAAACTCAATGGATCCCCGGAGATCTGAGGCGAGATCATGCCTCCCATCGTATTAGGTCGCTGGTTGTTGGTGGCTGGCTGAGGGAATGAAGGCGAGACTGGCGACGGCTGCGGGAAAGTGAGTCCCTCGGGAAGGCCCACAGGTGTCTGCGAACCAGAGTACACCGGGAACGTGGTCGAGGCGGTACTTTGCGAGAAGTAGGTGCTCCCGGCTGTGGAGGCCGTCTCTGAGGCATTGCTGTGCTGCCGTTGACCGTTCGGGCGGGCCGGCGTTGGGTTCGGGTTGTAATTTGGGCCCAGAACAGGTCGCAAGGCTTCAGGAGGTGCATCGTGGAGATATTTCGCCTTTTTGCGTACGCCGTCCTGACAGGCATCGGCCAAGCCACGCTTGATGCATCGTTGACATGGTCGTTCATCTCCTGTGGGAACGTCAGTCAGAGCTGGTCCGTGGGCACATCTGCCCCGAGCGCAACCCCGCCATGCCGGCTGCCGCTGTCACCAAGGCGAGCAGGACGGATCACAAGACCCGCGAGTCACACCGAAGAGGATAAGATTCTGTCAAGCTTACCGCACGTCAAATGAGCTCGCTGGCAAGCATAGCATGCTCTCCTGGCCTTCTTTCGCCGTGGGCGCAAGGGGTCTTTAGGGTCATACTTCTTCTTGACCTCGCCATTGTTGCCGGTTGAGTCGTTTGTCTCGGCCATCTTGTCGTCTTCGTCTTTCACAGCAAGATCGTCTTCGTACTCATGCTCATTGTCCGACATGGCATCCGAGACCTCGGCCCCGTTCTCCTCGAGTTCGTCCGGCATGATGACGAAGGTTTATATACAGCCTACACGCTGGTGTGAGCGACAGGATGGTGGCGTGGCGCGCGGGAGGTGTACGAGATGACGGCACGGCTATGCGAGCCCTCGACCGGGATGGCCTTGTCTTGGGCGGCAGCGCCAGGTTCTTGGCTTGGTGTCTCGTCCAGGAGCTGTGGTGTAAGGGGAAATAGTATGGTCAATCGTCCTGCAGGGCAGCGTTCTACGTGGTACACGACAGGGTATAGTTTCCTCGCAGCGACACACAGACGTAATAGCCCCGACCAGCGATGTATCGTTTCCCCTCGTTGCGCTTGGGTGGGATGGGTCCTGCGGCGCCCCAAAGAGTTTTTGAGAGGTAATCCTGGACAAATAGGAGGTCGCGCGGGAGCTGTGTCACGCTGCCGCCGCAAATTGAGGTTCGAACCTGGGAGGGCGTAGAGACGATGCTGCGTGTCGTCGTTCGCTGCTGGGAGAGGGGGCGTGTTACTAGTTCACGTCTGCGCTTCCAATGTAGGTCGTGCTAGCGGAGGATCAGTCAGGCACGACGATAGGCGGGCCTCGTATCGTTTACAAGCAAGGCTTGCCAATGGAGCTGCGACGGAGGGTGGGAGGAGGCGTTTCTGGTGTAACGAAATCGTTGACGGCGCAAAGACTGGGTCGCTGAGACGGCAGTGACCAGTCAAGGTTGTAGAGAGAGGAGAGAGAAGGGGGGAGCGTCGTGGCTTCCCCAAGGACGTCGCGGGCCTCGAGGGAGGGGCGGATGAAGCACCGTCACGGACAGAGGCCGCGGTGTGGATGTCTAGGTGTCGTTCGCTGGCCGGCAAACTTGTGACGGAGGCTGGGGCTCGTGCTCGGGATCGTGGATAGCCGGCTGTGGGCGTCGATGAGGGTAGCGTCGATGGCAGCGGCAGAGAGGGGAGGAGGGATGCAGGTCGTCGGCAGCTACCCGTCGGGGTCTATTGCGAGTGGTAAACAAGCATTGACATGCAACACAAGGTCGGCGACCAAAAGAAGGCCGAAGTTGGGTATCGAGTCGATTTCCTTGATGGGGGGGATGAGGGCAATTGGCTTCGCAAGGGCGCAAACAGGATACTAAGACGAGGTCACACGTGGAGGAGAGGAGGGCGCGAGGGTTGTCGAGGGCGTTGGGTGAGGCGTGGGTGTTGCGACAGGCCCATTGACGCGGGGCTGAGAGAGAGCGCAAATAGGTGTCGGGTTTGGCGTCTTCGGTGTTGATGTAGCGAGGAGATCGCTATGGCAAGGGAGCCCGGGTCGATTGTCTGCGGCGACGTTGGGTCGGTCGTGGTTTGTCGACCTCGGTCTGCGTTCAGTTGACACGAGCGAGTGCACACGTGTTTGAAGGTAGGTGTGTATGTACCTCAGACGCAGCGACAACAGTGTTTTGGCGAGGCTCTGAGTGGTTGAGACTGAAGAGCTGTCGTGTGTGTTGTGACCCGACGGAGAAATAAGCTGCGACTGGACTACGTAGGGGGGGGGGGGAGGCATCGGTACTCCTCCTGCTACCTGCCTACCTCTAAGGTGCCTAGACTCCTGGTGTTGGTTGGTCTGGTGTGGTGGTGCCTTGTCTGCTTGTCTCTCCAGCACTCGTGGCTGCGTTCCATTGCCCTTGGTATTGGGGCATGGTCAAAGATTTGCGCTGCGGGGTTCGTCAAAAGGTGGGTCGGCTGGGCATCGCTCTCGCATTGGAGAAGAATAGGTGGCGCATGATTGGCTGCGCGCAGCTGATGGTTGCACCAACTGCTAGTCAGCCAGTATTGGTCTGGTCGCTAGAAAGGCTCCGGCCCTGCGGGAGAACTTGGGGTTGGAGGAGGACCCCGTAACCGAGGTCACAAGACCAATGAGATGCGCGTCCGTCCCAGGGCTGAGAGTCTCCGTCCGTTCTTTGCTTCAGGTACCATGTCGCTCACTAGGCTTCAAGGTTCAGGCGGACAGGCGATGAAGGGATCAGTGAGAGGGGTGATCAATGCAGAAGGAAGACTCAGATTCACGAGGTTCAGGATGCGAGGCTCGAAACACACACTTCACCTGGCAGCTGCAATCCGCGGACCGGCAGCGCAGGAACGGGTCTCAGACCAACATGTCTCCTGCCTTGTCTTGCTGATCCTGTCTTGCGTGACTGGCAGATGATCGAGCCGGGCAAGTGCGAGAGCCACTACCGATTTCCTCGTCACGCAATTATAATTAGGCACAGGAAGGTACCTACCTGCCTGCTACCATTGAATGACTTGAGTACAGGAGGAAGGCCAGGATCGGTGGGGCAGCTGCGACTGTGGCTGTGATTCATACGGGAAGCAGCAACGGCATCATCATGGCCCCCTGCCGGCCGGTGCCTGGTCTTGGCTCAATGGTCATTCTTATTAACGGCTGCGCGCCGTCATGTTGATTCAGACATGCATGATTCAGTCGAATTTGCTTATTTGCTGTTCCAGCCTCAACCTGCGACGATGACGATGACGACGACTTGATTTCTTTACGGGTTTTACGAGCCCTCTACATTGTTGTGCGGTCATCCGCTGCTCGTCTGGTACCTCACTTGATGGCCGGCCACTTCGTCCCAAATGCCCAAGAAACATCTCACGCCCCCCCCCCCCCTCCTAGTTTGTACCATGCAAAGCTCTGTGAAATAAACATACCATCACTCTGGCTTGGCACCCCTCAGCCACACTCATCACACCACACCTCGCACCACGGATCATTGTCACCTGCAGAGACTTGCTAACATGGGCCTTGATTGTTCCAACCCGGGAACCGAGGCTTCCACCAAACCACTGACCTGCTGCCAGGTGATCTTGCGCCTACCTAGGCCTGCTAGGCAACTCTGTTGGATACCGTGGTAGACAAGCCATCCGAGTGGCTTGGCTCGTTGCTTCACTGGTCCTCGCTGTCTCCTGAATCGCTCACTCCATGCTGACATGTAACACAGAGTGCTAGAAGGACGGTTGTCATCTTCTCACTGGCCGGCTCACGCGTCGACGCGTCTTAATCGTTTCAGGCCCAGCCTCGCCTCGATGCCAGCATGGCGATTGGGCCATCGACGATAGAGATTTCTGTTGCGTCACCTCCTAGGCTTTGGAGTAGCCCATGCGGCAGGCATCCCTCGCTGGCCTTCCCAGCTCCCTCGACCTCATCGCCACAACCATGTCGTGGGTTCGAATGCGACACCTCTTCTCTTCCTTTGCTCCGATCATCGTCGCATTGTCGTAGGCGTGGCTCATGAACACGGGTCCGGGCAACCAAAAGCCAGCCCTGACCAAAGTCAGCCGCGAGCGCCTCGACACGGGTCGACACTAGTGCGTCGGCATCTGGCGTGCACACGCCTCGATCACCCGCAGGCCGAGTAACTTGTGCTACGATGGTGCCTGATCCGACGAAGAGGCGCCTGTCGCCTCGTCGCCACTGGGCGTATGCACGCGGTCGGGCACCTAGGGTGGCTTTCCAAGGTCTCAACGACCCCTGGAGACCGATTTGAGCACTTGGTTGTCGTCCAATGCTCACATCTTCAGCCTTGGGTGGCGAACCTGCTCGTGCCCCTGATCCTCTTGCCGTACCGGAAGAAAATGTAGGGGAAGGGCAGCATGGCTACTGTCAGGAAAGCGAGGAGCGAAGATGCCCAGGGATACCCGAGAGCCTCGTACATCTGGTTTCCAAACAATGGAAAGGCAGCTACCGCACCACACGAAAATTAGCCTCTCCTGCACGTGCGACCTGGAGAATGAGAGGATACCAGCTGGACGGACGCGGGCACCGGTATCACCAGATGCACTTACCAGCGAACATGCAGCGCACAAAGGCATTGGCCGCCAGAACGCTCGCGGCGTAGAGCGGATAGGCGTCAACCTACGGGTTTCAGCGTCAGAGACCGTCACAATTATACAGTACGTCGTCGCCCTCTAAATCAAGGGGGTTTCCCCCTTCCTGCCACGCAGGGTACCGGACAGGGCTTTTGGGGGTGGAGGGGTGGAGGGGTGGAGGTAGGACAACATACGAGGAACGTGAAGATGCCGGTGAAGACCAGCAGGGTTCTGTAAGCCCAGACGGTTAGCCGCATCGCTACTTTTTTGAACATTTCATGCAAGATGACTCGGACGAGCCTTGCGCAACCGCCTGACCAAGCTTTTACTAAGGATGACTGAAGTACGGTGCGGGTGGTGCCAGCGCCATGCAGTTCCCGTCCCTATTTTCAAGCCGACAAGTGTCATGCGCGGGACGATGCATCGTGCGCGGTCGAGCAGAGGCCACAGCCGCCGGACCTCTGACCAACTCTGGGCAGGGTCGCGAGCTGCCGTGCGACGAGGACTCGTAAAGGGAGGCACAGACGAAGCGGAACAGGACGGGGGAAGAAGACATACCCAGCGCCAAAAATACCAGAGCCAATGATGGGTGCGATCCAATGGATGTTGGCATTGGCAGTCCAGCCGAAGACGAAGAGGCCAACAGTCACGAGGAAGGCGCCGAGGATGGCCGACGGGAGGCGGTACTCGGGCTCGCTGGCAAAGGCCACGCCGGTGCGGCGCTCGTTGTCACGGATGAGACGATCGCGAATGGCATGCCACAGGGGATCGGTCGCGGCGGCGCAGAGCATGCCGACGAGGATGCCATTGAAGGCCAGGCCGACCTGCCACAGGTTAAAGCCGTGCGTGTTGCCGAAGACGAGAGGGAAGGCGCCGAAGAAGAGGTAGAGGACACCGAGGAGGATGGCGGAGAAGATGCAGAGCAGGAGGACCATGGGCTCGTAGGCGAGCAGCTGGAAGGGCCGGCGCAGCGACAAGGCGACGGTGCGGAGGATGGACTTGTCCGCCTTGTCCATGGGGGCGCGCCAGCGGTCGTCGCCCGTGTCGGCGCGTACGGCGCGTGCCTTGAGGCGCAGGACGACGGGGTGATAGGTCTCGGGGACGAAGAACAGGATGAGCAGACCCATGGCGACGGCCCACATGAGGAGGACGTAGTAGGTCCAGCGCCAATCGACGTTGTAGTTGATGAAGCCGCCGACGGTGGGGCCGATGGCGGGGCCGACAAAGGGCGCCATGGAGTACAGCAGCATCGGGGCCTGGAGGTGCTGGCGGTCGAAGAGGTCGCTGACGGTGCCGCCCGAGACGGCGAGGAAGGCGCTGCCGGAGAGGCCGTCGAAGAAGCGGGCGACGATCATGGTCTGAATGTTGGTGGCGACGGCCGAGGGGATGATCCAGATGATGTACATGGACCAGGCGACGAGGTAGATGGGGCGGCGGCCGTAGAACTCGGACAGCGGGCTCAGGAACATGGGGCCCAGGCTGATGCCCAGCACAAAGGTCGACAGGCCGAGGGTCGAGACGATGCGCGACGAGCCGAACTCGGCGTCCATCTTGATGTAGGTCGACGTGTAGATGGAACTCGCGGCCGTGACGCAGAGGCTGGCGGCCGAGACGAGGGCGACGATGAGCCACTTGCGCGGCGTCGGCAGGGAGCGCGGGCACCAGGGGTCGCGGTCACCATTTTCAAACGAAACCTCGAAGGGGTCCTCCTTGGATCGTGCCCTGGCGGCACCGTTGGCAGCAGCATCCGTTGAGGACGCCGACGGCTCATTGTCGTCCGAGGAGGGCTGGTAGTCGTCACAGGAGTAGCCGTTCTGCGACCGGGCACGGGAGATGGTGCGGGCTACGGAGCGGGCGGAGGCGGTTGACGGTCGACGTGGTTGTGCATCTGACGTTGCACGCGGTTCGGTCCGGATGGGGGCGAACTTGGTGTCGGCGTTGGCGTCGGCGTCGGCCTTTTCGAGATCACGGTCTGCATCGGCCATGGTGTTTGGGTGTCAAGAGCTTGTTCCACGTGCGTCAGTTCCGTGTCTGCCGTCTTTGACGTGTGAGACAATGTGAGAGAGACGAAGGAATCGGAAGGTGAAGAGGCGTTTCGGGAGCTTCAAAGGTCAAGGCAATGACATCAGCACCCTGAATAGATTTCTAGGGTCGGCAGTCCATCCTTTTAGAGGGGGGGCGGCATGGGCTCCACGATCGATTTATTTATTCCCGGGCCTTCACCTGACGACTGATGATGAATCGGCGTTGGCGTACTTGTTACCGAAATCGCATTGAACAAACAAATAACTGGGGGAACAGGCGGAAAGCGGCTTGGGCCGATTCCCAGGCCACCCGCACTGATCCTCCATTCGTCAACGGGAGGCGTTCGTTCCTGTGCTCGGCTCGCGCGCCTCTTTTCACGTTGGTCACATTATGACTGACCAAACCTGAGCGATCCATGGGGCAGGGAAATCGGATCCCGGGGCGGGGAGCTTATTCATAGCCTAGGTCGGGGTTCCGCGCGCCGTCTTTCTCTCTCTCTCTCTCTGGGCTCTGCTGAGGGGCCCGCGCCCTGGCGGCAGGCAGGACGGAACTCGGCATGTCGGCGAGCACAGGACTGACGCCGTTCCTGTTCGGATTTCGACATGATGCGTGCTCCACAACACGCGGCCGCTCATGGGGGGGGAGGGTGCGCCTTTGCCGGGATTTCTTCCTCGAGAAAAAAAAAAAGTCTCGAAAAGGGATGCACAAGGACGAATCTCGGCCCATCGCCTCGATTGTCGTCGTCGTCCAGCTCGCTCGTGAGACGTCCACATGGGGCTTCTGGGCGCTCTTGTCACGAGGGTCTAAGACAAGGGTGGCGTGGGGAGGGGGCCCCACCACGGGGGATTCGCAAGACGCGAGACGCGAGGCGAATTGTCATGGTTGATAAGCCGCTCATTTTTTTTTTCAACTCGATTTCGGATCCTCCCTCAACTCCATGTCGAATCAACCCCCCATAAGCCAGCTGGTCTTCGTCATCGGCGGCGGCAGGCGGAGGAGGCTATCTGCACAAGCCTATCCCTTTTGTGCGCCGAGAGTCGGCCCGAGGACTTCTTCAGCTGGACAGCAAAAGTGGCAGAAAAATGAGGAGGACAAGTTTACGCTGGGGTAGACAACGAGGGGTGCATTCGAATGCTGATCCGGTATCCGTGTTCTGCGGATCGGCTCACTGTTCATGCAGGACTGGTCCGGCTGCTGGAAACGTCCTTGTCTAGCTGTTCGGGAAGGGGGCGAAGATTATATGTACTGAGGCCAATTTCGGCACCAAGGGAATACCAGTATCTAGTGCTACCTCCAACATGCAAGAAAGAGCACAAGACATCCCTTGACGCCGAAATGAAACCTTCAATACTTCATATGATCGACAGCCAGGCGGCAGAACAATCAATGTCGCCAGTTGAATGAAGGATGCAACGAACAGGACATCTACACACTTGTATGCTGCTTAGTTTGAATAGATTTGCTTGTTTTAACAGTGCCTGTCAAGATGCACATGGGAGCTATTCTTGCAGGCGGTCATCAGTATATGTGCGGAGGTGTACTTTCGGCACCCAAGGGATAGACCAGCGGCCATCATCACGAGTACATCATTTGTCATTGCAGGCAGCCAAGCTATACGATGGAGTGACAAGACCGCCGGCCTCACCGGTAGAACTCGGGCAGGTCAAAGGCCGGCACGTCGGCGTCGCAGTCAAAGGCCCTGTCCCACGGCTTGGCCGGCATGAGGCCGCCGGCGAGGGCTTTTTTGTAGCTCCACAGCGGCGCGTCCTCCGTGTCCCAGGTCCAGTACCACCACCCCCAGCCCTTTTCGAACGAGTGCATCTGGGCCTCGGCGAACATTTTGAGAAACTGCTTGTAGCCGTCGCTCATGTCCTCGACCTTGGCGTTGGCCGGCCCGCAGTCGCACCGCCTGTCCTTGGTCGGGCACCCGGGCGTCAGCACGGCGACGGCCGTCGGATCGTCGCCGGGGTCGTACGTGCCCGTCCAGCGGTTGCCCTGGCCGACGTTGGTGAGGTACGTCGCGCAGTCCGTGTCGGCCTGCGACCACTCGGCGAAGAGCGTCGGCCCGTAGCCCGTCGCGCGGTCCATGCTCTGCTGCGCCTGCTCCGTCCACCCCTGGCACGCGTACTCGACCTTTTCCTGGTGCGTGTAGGCGATCTGGTCCTTGTTGAAGATGACGTACTGGTGCACGTCGAGCGCCATGTCGTCGTAGCCCGTCATGCGTCCCTGCCAGTTGTGCAGGCCCATGAAGCCGTCGCCGAAGACGACGACGGCGTCGACGCCGTTCTTGCGCACGAGCGCGTAGCACTCCTCCGTCCACGCGATGACGTCCGCCGTCGACAGCTCCGTCATCTTGGGCTCGTTGGCGAGGCCGTAGAAGGTGATGATGTTCTTGTACCGCGGCTGCGCGAAGAACTGGGACAGCCGGTCGTGCATCTCGACCGAGCGCCTGCGGTTCTCCGTGCCCGCCGTGCCGTTGAGCCAGCCGATGGCGCCCCAGCGGCCCGAGTGGTTCCATCCGTTCTGCGACCCCGGCAGCGCGTGCGGGTCGAGCTTGACGCGGAGGCCGTACTTGCGCGCCCACTCGATGCCGCGCAGCAGGTACCGCCACGACGTCCGCGCGAGGTACGGGTCGCTGTCGTCCCACACCTCGACGGCCCAGTAGCCGAACGGGATGCGCACGTGGTCGAGCCCGGCGTCCCGGATCTCCTTGAACGTCGACTCGGTGACAAAGCTCGCGTAGTGTGCCTCGAGCACCTCGGCCGTCTGGCGCTTGCCGAGGTGCGTGCTCAGCGTCCACTCGTCGATGATGCCGAGGCGCTTGTCGTAGGCAAAGAGCGACGGCGTGATGAAGGGTTCGAGCACGAGCCAGCCGCCCACGTTGACGCCCCGCGCCGGCCGCTTGTCGTACGAGCCCCAAGCCTTGTCGAGCGGCGGCACCTTGTCGTTGCAGCGCGCCGAGTCGTCCCAGTCGTCGAAGAGGCCCATGACGGGCAGGTCGCCCACCGTCGCGTCGGTGAAGGTGACATTGAAATCGTCCGTGTTGTCCCAGCTGAAGGGGTCGAGGTACGTGCCGCGCCACTGCATCGGAATGCTGTCCTTGTCCTTGTCCTGGAGGTCGGCGTCTGCGCTGGCGCTGCTGTCTGACGAGTTGTTCTTCGAGACGACGACGGCCACGACGACGATGATGATGATGAGAACGACCGAAACGCCCATGCAGATCCCTGTTCTGTTAGCGCGCGCCGTTCGGTCAGTCTCGCGGGAGGTTGTCACGTACAGAGTTTCCTCTTCTTGCGGACCGGCCGCACCGGCGGGTCGTAGTCCGAGTCGTCCAAGTCCTTCGTGGGCACAGCACTGCTGCCGCCGCCCCTGAGCCTGCCGAAGAAGCCACCAATCTTCCACCCCTGGCCCTCCTCGAGAGCAGCGCCGCTGACGATCCGCTTGTCCTTGGCGCCTTTTTTCTGCTTCCGAGGCTTCTCATACTCAACATCGGAGAAGTCGCCGTCGCCGCCGCGCCGCTCGCGCCGCACGGTCCTCTTCGTCCTCGGGGCGTCCTCATACCTCGCCTGCCGTCGTTCGTCCTCGAGACGCCACCTCTCCTCGACCAAGGCCCGTCTCCGTTCGTCGTCAAGGCGGCTGCGCCTCTGCTCTTCGTCATCGTGTCGGCTGCGCGTCCGCTCGCCCGGCGGCTGGCGACTCGGCCTCCGCCTCTCGTCGTCAGGCCTGGTCTTGCGCCTCTCGCCAGCCTCTTCGCGCTCTCGCCGCCGGCGTCGCCGTTCCCTCCGCTCCCTCTGCCGCTCTTCCCTCTCGCGGTCGGGGCTGTCGTCGCGCACAGGGCCGCCAGCGCTGTTGAGCTGCGCCAGGGCATCGGCCGAGAGGGCGTGGGCGCGCGAGCTGCGTTCGGCACGGCTCTGTTCCGAGTCTGTGGTGGTCGTGGTGGTCGTAGGTGGTCTCTTGGCGCGGCGAGGTCTGTCGTCGTCCTGCTGGGCTCTTCTAGTCTTGCGTCGTTGGTCGCGCTCCTCGGTCGACTCGTGCCGGCGGTGTGACGGCCGGGTCGAGGAATCTCGAGGCATGGCGGGGCAAATGGGGGAAAGGCGTAGCTCGGCTTCGATGTGTCGGCAAGATGGTATGCGGGGAGGTTGAATGGCGGGGAAAGCAGAAGGTGAGAGGAATGTTCTGCCGTCAAGCTGAATGCATTGTTCGTATATATCAAGCCGCCGAGCAAATACCAAGGAAGCCACACTCCTTCGTCGTTGCCCGTTGCCCGAGGAGAGGCAGTGACTTCCCTGCTTGATGGCCGTGCTGGTCTGTGCGGGGTTGGCACGGCAACGGTAGATCGCGGCATCTCATCAGTGACGTTGCTTGACAGGCATGAAGGGACTCTTGTGATGCAGTTAGTCAGCACGGACTACATCACGTAGCCTTGAGGCAGGCTGTTGAATCCAAGGGGAATGTCCACTTGCGGGGACGATATCGCAGGTTGGGAGGCCACATTGAGCGCGCATCAGAGCAAGATACAGAGGTACCTTGACGGGACTCCCCTTAGCGCCTGCCCTCGCGAGGGGGCTCAACTGCCATTGCGGAAGGAACTCATATCACGCTCTTGCCTCAACGAGCCGGAGCCAGCGGCACTTGCCCCTGAGTCCTGAGCTTGCAGCCAATTGTCCCCCGCATTGGACCCGACAACATCTTGACCCTATGAGGCGCTCAACCTGTCAAAACAGACACAATTCACCTCAGGCACGACCATGGTTTCGCTGGATGTGACAGATTCCATTCACGCCGCTCTGACAATAAAAAAGAAAAGAAAAAGGCGAATTTAAATGTGATCGCGTGTCTGATCTGCATCACGTAGCTGCTGTCGGGAGTGACAACCTGCACGTGCATCGCCATTCGTTGCTACCCAACCCTAGGCACCTACAGTAAGCTATAGTGCGTGCAGTCATGAATGTAGCCAAGTTCCTTCTTGATCTCAGGGACCTGCGACTCACGTAGAAAGAATATTCGTTCTTCATCTGCCTGCACCCAAAAAAAAAATGGTGCTCGGCGAAGCGCGGCACATGCTCCGAGGACTCCAGGTGTGCCAAAGACGCAACCTGCAGCGAGCACGACGAACCTCCGGACGCGTAGTTCGCGATGTGACCCTCAACCGCCAAACCAACAACCACCGCCAAACCCTATTCTCCTGCGTCAAATCCGCAGGTCATGGCATTGCTGGTCGTCTTTCCGACGCCTCGCGCCATCTCCGCACCTCCGCATCTCCGCACCAGCTTGTCGTGCTTCAGCAACGGTGCAGTTGACGTCTCGTGGGAACACGTCTGTAGGAGATTCGAGGACAGTCGAGTATAAAACACAAATCCACCGTCTCGCTCAGAACCACCTTTTTCAAGACCGCCATCTCTCGACAAGCAGCTTCTACTAATCGAAACGCAAGTGGGTCGTGCGCAGTCCTTGTGGCCTCCCCAGTCACTCACGTATGGTGGTCTAGCCGTGCACAATGTCGACCGAATCGCAACCCCTCGGCCAGTGGGTCACAGAGCTCAACAACACTCTGTTCTTCCAGCCGGACGACGAGCTGGCGCGGAGGGCTGTCGAGGAACAGATTGATACCAGCTTGGTGGTCAAGTACGTCCGTGCTCACGAGAGCTGTCCACAAGCAAGCATCCAACCCTAACCTTCCTGGCATCCCAGAATCAACCACGATGTCTATACGTATGACCAGTTCAAACCGGGCATCCAGCACGCCCGTAGCTCTCGGATCTCGGTCCTCGAGACCTTCTCAGTCCTGCTCGAGTGGGAGGACCCGGTGAAAAAGGACGGCGTCGTCGCCGTGCTCAGCACGTGGTCGACCAAGGACAAGGCCTCGGGGGAGGAGAAAAAGCACACGACCGTCATCATCTGGGAGATCAAGTTGATTGGTGGCAAGAGGAAGGTCACGGCTCAAACGGAGGCCGAGTCTAGCTGAGCGGGTCGAAGAAAAGACCCTGCATGTCGCTTCATCCATAGGAATCAACTCTCGGCTTTGCATTGCCATGATGATTCGGTTTGCGTCGTCATGTGCTCGCGGCGCTGCTGCTATTGCCGCGATTGTCGGTCGCACGAAGCCGCTGATGTTCATAAATGCCATAGTCTGCGCTGGTGTCGTCAAGAGAGATGCGGTCTACACCCACAGACTCTCGTAGGGAATGGCTGCGCCGGTTTTCTACCACAAGCTTCCGTCAAGGTCGCATCGAATGCTTGGCTGCATACCCGGTCACCGCAACAGTTGTCCTGGCTCGTCGCCAAGTCTTCCGATTCGCGAGCCAGACGCCGTGATCGCCGGGTCCATCTTGCGCCATCTGTCAGAGCAATGCCGGGAGACCCACACCGAACCAAGTCCGCACCAAGTCCGCACCATCTCCACTAGCAACGGAGCTACCCCCGACTTCTCTCCCATTTCACAGACTAATCCTTCAACGTCCGGCACACCTCACGTCCGCGTCTGCTCCCCCAAAGATGGACCGTCGAACGAAGCAAAAGTCCTGCTACCCCTGTGTCGACAGCAAGCGGCGCTGCGACCGGACGCTGCCGTCCTGCACGAGATGCATCGACAGAGGCGTGCAATGCGCCTGGCCGGCCGCACAACAACGGAAATTGGCCAAACCCGCTCCAGATCAGTCCGAGTCCACCAACCCCGCATTCACCAGTGCTCACGGGGATGACAATCCAGGTACCGTGGCGGGCCAAGAACCGCCTTCCACAAGCCATCACACGGCCATGCATGAGACCATGTTCATGATATCGCCCCCGCATGGCATCTCGCCCATGCCCGACACTGAGCATGACGCATCGCACAGTTCTGGTCTTGCTAGTAGCACCATTTCGTTCGGGTCCTCAACTTCGCCAGGATCTGCCGCACCCGGCGCGGGGATCGGCTCTGTCGGCACAAACGTATCGCCGTCGACGGGTCAGAGCCTCAAATGGTTCACGCACCCTTCGACCTGGACAATTGGGTACCACTACCAGCCGCCCGAGGGCCTCCCCTCGCCGCAGGCCTTCTCCGACTTCATCCGCGGCCTGCAGTGCTGGGTGCGGCGCTTCCAACGGGAAGGCCACTCCCCGCTGATCCACCGCCAGCTGTACCCGCCCAGGGCCATCCCGGACTGCATCCAGGACGCCTACGCCGCCATCGCTGTCTCGGAGGGCGTCTGTCCCGAGAATGAGAACCTGGTGGACAGCATCGCCAACGCCTTGGTCATGCGGCTGATATCTTCCTATCCCCAAATGCCGGCCCACGGGCTCTCGATTGTCACCACCGTCGATCACCTCGCCCGCACCCAGGCTCTCCTTGTCCACATCATTCTCGCCTTGTTCTCGTCCTCCATATCGCGCCAGGCCAAGGCGGAGAGCCTCATCGAGACTCTCCACCGTTGGAAACTCGCCTTGTGGGAGTCCGCCAGCCAGGAAGCGAGCCTTGTGGACATGTTTCCCTCCGTGCAAGCCGATCCTCTGGGAAGCGGAGAACCAGCAGGCGAATCGGTCCCGGAGCTGCATCATGCCTTCATCATGTGCGAGTCGATCCGACGCACCTGGCTCGTGTCTGCAATGACGATAGGGGTCTACCGCAGCCTCAGGGGAGACTGGAGCTCCGCATGCGCAGGGGATGTTCTGTTCACGAGCCGCGCGGGGTTGTGGGACGCGTTCACATCGGCACGCTGGGCAGCGATAGCTGGCGGAGAGGACCCCCTCTTTGACTATAGTCTTGCGAGCCGTCAGTTGGCGAAGCGCGATCTGTCAGTTGCGGAGGTCGACGAGTTCGCTCTTCATCTGTACTCGCTGATGTGGGGGGCTGATACGGTGGAATCTTGGTTTGTGCGGACTTGAAGGTTAGAGGAGGGAAGAGTCCGCATTCTGCGACAGATCCGCACAACTCCGAGCGTTTGTATCCATGTACAATGCAATCACCGCAATGCGGTCCGAAGCGTCTGTGTGAGCCCCAGAGAGCCCGTTGATGGACAGTGGCCCAGCTATATTTCAAAGGTTGATTGCTGCACCTCTAGATGACGCAGGCTTTGTTCATTTTGTACCTTCATCCATCTGTAGACTTCTTTCGCACTCGTAATCCATCTCAGTGTCTGAACACTGCAAGCAATGGGAGCCGCTTGGAACCCAGCGCAAGACATGCCGAACCTTACAGGCAAGATCGCTCTCGTCACGGGCGCAAGGTAGAGCACCCTCACGAGAGAACGAGTGCGGGTTTGTCATTGCATCTCGCTGATTTCGGTTAGCACTGGGATAGGGTTCCAAATTATTCGTCAGCTCGCCCAAGGAGGAGCCAAGGTGTTCGCCACGACACGGTCGGAGGAGAAAGCAGAGAAAGCTCGAGATGCCCTCAAGACTCGCTACCCCAATATCCCGGCGGGGGCCATTGAGTGGCTGCCACTCGACCTAACCAATATTCAAAGAATCAGCGAAGTTTCAGAAGAGATTCGTAGCAAAGTTGATAGGCTCGATGTCCTGGGTAAGTTGTTCCAGCCTTCAGTGGATCTATCAGGGAATCATCAGCCCCTGACGTGGTTGCCTTGGCTAGTTCACAACGCAGCAACCGCCACACCGGCTCATCAGCTTGTGGACGGAAGATGGGAAAAGCACATGGCAGTCAGGTATGACACTTCCTAGTGTCCTTGGCGTAGAGCCTTGAACTGATGGAAGTATCACAGTGTTGTCGGGCCGTTTCTTTTGACGAACCGGTTGTTACCTCTCCTCCAGATGACGGCCAAGATGCCGGGCGCCGACGTCAGGATTGTCACCTGTTCTTCAAACGCCCCACAAGTGTTTTTACCAAAGGACTTTCCCCTGCGCTTCGACTCGCCCTTGGCGCTTGCAGCAACAGTCTCTGCTTACCCGTGGCACTGGCGATTTCTTGGGCGATTCGTCTTCGCCAGCGACATGATCCTGTACAGCGTGGCCAAGGCCGGAGCGGAAGTCTTTGCGTCGCAGCTCCAGAAGACATTTGATAAAAGCCATCTACCCATTTTGTCATTGGTCGTCCACCCAGGCCCGACAGCGACCGAAGGCTTGTTGGAGGTCAATAGTGCTTTCATCAGAGCGGTCGCACGCCTTGCTTTCCAGTCCTCAGAGCACGCTGCCTCGTTGCCACTCTTTGCAGCCACGGCGGAACGGGTCCGCCAGCAGCCGGAGCAGTTCAAAAACGCTTTATTGATATCAGGTGGCCAAACAATAAACCTGCACCCAGTCACCTCGGATGGCAAGCAAGCCAGAGGACTGTGGGATACTGTCGACGGGCAGTTGACTCAGTATCTCAAGGCGGACGGTCTCGCTCCACTGCAGAGTTGGTGATGGATTTTCTTCTTCTTCTGATATGGGGATGCCCTGGAAAGGTGGAAGATGCGTAAATAAGGTAGGTAGTTAATGGAAGTGGTCAATGGAAGTGGAGGCAGTCTGGTTGACTCGGTCACTGTAGATTTGTAGTAGGTGCCTTGGGTGCCTACCTACCTGAACTGACCTAGGCAGGTAGGTAGCAAGTGCTTGCCCAGTCTTGATCACTGGTTGTGAGGCAGGTGGGTCTGTGCCCCGCCCCCGTCTGTGCTTTCCTGGGGCTTGAGCCGACATGAGGCAGGCATTGACCTGTCTTGGCCCTCGACAACCCCGCGAATGCCGCAACAAGCCGAAACAGCATCACCTGTACGGACCGACCCCCTCGGCAGGAACCCTCTACCTTCTTCTCCTCTTCTCATAGACTCCCTTCACTTGCAACTCTTTCGGGTAAACACCATCGTGAATTTTCTCTATTACACATATCGTCACAATGAAGCTGTCTCCATTACGCAATGCCGCCAGGAGAGCAGCGCTGGCGCCCTCCAGGACATCGTGCCTCACATCCTCGGTCGCCCCGTCCCTCACGTTCCTCTCACGAAACTACTCCTCCCACGCTCCCAATGCGAAACTCAACCTTCCGATAGACTATGCGACAACGTCCCTCCTTGCCCACTCGTCCCAGACGGCGCTGGCCACGACCGATCTACCTGCCGAAGCCCGCGCCGGCCCCACAAAGAAGATGAACCTCTTTCAGGCTGTAAACGAAGCTCTCTCTACAGCCCTCGCCCAGGACGATGCAGTCATGGTCTTTGGCGAGGATGTCGCCTTTGGCGGCGTCTTCCGCTGCACGATGAAGCTCGCCGAGACATACGGCAATGACCGCGTCTTCAACACGCCTCTCACCGAGCAGGGCATCATGGGGTTTGCTATTGGCGCCGCCGCCGAGGGTATGCGTCCCGTTGCCGAGATTCAGTTTGCCGACTACGTCTATCCGGCCTTTGATCAGCTTGTCAACGAGGCGGCCAAGTACCGATACCGCGAGGGTGCCTGCGGCCGCAGCGTCGGCGGTCTCACCGTCCGCATGCCCTGCGGCAGTGTCGGCCACGGCGCCATGTACCACTCTCAGTCGCCCGAGAGCCTGTTCACCCACATTCCTGGCCTACGCGTCGTCGTGCCGCGCTCGCCGCTCCAGGCCAAGGGTCTGTTGCTCGCCGCCATCCAGAGCAACGACCCCGTTGTGTTCATGGAGCCCAAAATTCTCTACCGTGCCGCCGTCGAGCAGGTCCCCACTGCTCCCTATACGCTGCCCCTCGGCAAGGCTGAGATTCTAAAGGAGGGCAAGGACGTCACGGTCATTTCGTACGGCCAGCCTCTGTACACGTGCATGTCGGCGATTCAGCGTGCCGAAGAGGAGCTCGGCATCTCCGTGGAGCTCATCGACCTGCGCACCATCTACCCCTGGGACAAGGAGACGGTCTTCAACAGCGTGCGCAAGACAGGCCACTGTGTCGTCGTGCACGAGGCCATGGTGAACGCTGGCACGGGCGCCGAGGTGGCGGCTGCGATTCAGGAGGACCCCGACACGTTTAATCGCCTCGAGGCGCCAGTGGCGAGGGTTGCTGGCTGGAGCATCCACACGCCTCTGCTGTATGAGCGTTTCAACGTGCCAGACGTTGCAAGTGAGTTTGACTTGTCCGCGTTTCTCAAAGAGACTTTGGCTAATCTGGAACAGGGATATACGACAATATCAAGCGGGTGCTGGATTACTGAAGGGAACTGGAGAAATATGGTGGGGAACGGCAGACCTGAAATGTCATTTGCGCAGGCGTTGGTTGATGCACAAAATCATAGAGAATATCTCAATCTGAACGAAGTTACACCCATGATGCGAGTTCTGTGTCCTCCATTATCCATACCAGGCACGACCATGACTTGCCAGAATCGAGCAATCTCTGTTCGACTGGCAATTCAACTTGATCCTTTAGAGGCACAGTGTTGTTGATGTTCTCGAAGCTTTGTAGTGTCGTACATCAGGTGGTACAGATTGCAAAAGAGAAGACTATGTCTTGCCATCTGTGCGTAGGTGGCTACCGTCGGCCCCGCCAGGTTCCGTGACGTCGGCGAATCTTCGGTCCAGTAGACGCCAGTGACCTCAAGCTTGGTCGTAGTGGAGCCCCCCCGAGACGGATGCCCCGCATTACGTTACTGTTGCTCGTTTCACCGGGAGCTCTACCACGAACCCGTCCAGACCTTGCAACCAGATAGGCCGCCCTCCAATCCTCAGTGGCTTTTATTACTTGACGTGCACAACTCCAAATACATCATGTCTGACGTCGAGACCGTCTCGGCCTTTGTTGAGGGCGCCCCTCCCGGCGAGGTAAGTCGCGCAGCCTCCCCCTCATAGCTCCAGCCATGCTGACCCGGACCGAAGCTCGCAGATGTCATTGCAGGTACCTCATACACCTCCGACGACCCGACCTCACGCTCCCGTATACTGACACGGCGCAAGACATCAAGTCCCTCACCATTGACAATCCCGACATTGTTTCGAACCTCGCTCCCGCCTTTGAGAAGTACAACGAGGAGCAACTCATCACTGTGAAGCTGCCCGGAAGCAGCCAGTCCGTCCGTCACATCAGTCGCCCTAACATTGGCAGAATTGCTTGGCTTATGGGTATCCGCAGGTCATCATCAGCGCGCACAACTCTCTCGGCCAGGGACAATACTTTGACGTCGAGAGCAGCTCGAGCTTCACATTCGACCACCCCACACAGGTCCGGACCACGACGCTAGCCCGGTAAACATCAGCTGACGAGTCGCTACAGAAAGCCAGCAATGTGCAATCCTACGTGCTCGAGGGTGCGCAAGCTGACTTAGTGTAAGGGGCTTTCCGTGTATGCCCCCTCCCGCACGAACATGACTGACAGCCTGCAGCAAGTCGACCTTGAAGAGTCTTGGCCCCTACGTCAAGGAGCACTTTGCCAACGCCGCTTACGGTGTCTACCCCATCGAGGAGGACTCCAAGGTGGCCGTCGTTATTGTTTCAAACAAGTACAGCCCCAATAACTTCTGGTACGCATGATCGATGACCCCTTGCCCCCCTTTTACGCCGCACATGCTGACACCATCCAGGAACGGCCGATGGCGCTCCATCTACACCTTCGACCCGGCATCGGGTGCCCTCGAGGGTTCCATCAAGCTCGACGTCCATTACTACGAGGACGGCAACGTACGCCTTCTCACCGATCGACCCTCGACGGCGTCCGTGTCCTCAGGCACCGGCGCCGGCATCGTCAAGGAGATCTCGGCGGCAGAGAAGAAGTACCAGGATGAGTTGAACAGAGGGTTCACAAATCTCAGCGAGGGTACGTTCAAGGGTTTGCGGAGACAGCTGCCGGTGACGAGACAGAAAATTGAGTGGGACAAGGTAACCAGCTACCGGTTAGGCCAGGACATTGGCGGTGGCAGCGGCTCGCGGCGGTGAGGAGGCCTGTGACGAGCTTGACAGAAGGTGGCGATGATACGCTCAGTCGATAAGATCCAGATACATGGCAGAAGAAAAAAAAGAATACCATGACCATATTGATGACTCGACATGAAAAGGACACAAGTCCTGGCCTGGATGCCGATGGAGCGCCGGGCACCGCGTAGCGCGTGGTTGTATCACAAGTGGCCGGCCAAGCACATGCGTTCCTGGCTCGGGGGCGGGGCAATTTCCAAGCGGAAGCGGAATCCCAAACGCTTTCCGAGCCTGCTCCACGCTGCCGTGCTCTATCACCAATCAGGAGTCAACATCAACAATTTCAGCTCTTCTGATTCGTCAAAAAAGGGACAATGTCTGTTGAACCTAGACGACCCGAGCTTATCGGTAATTCCCCCAATTTCCTCCAGGACCCTCGAATCCTCCAGCTCCATCAATCTCAACAACCTGCCGAACAGCATCTTCTGGCCTGATCTCCCGCTCTGCCTCAGTCGCTCATCGCAAGAACAACACGGATACTTCGTCTAATCGCTCGCCGCGCCCCTCGCATCTCAACTCCGAATCATCGCCGAGACAAGAGCCAAAGGCCAGATCGTCAAAACCAAGCACAATCCGTCAAGATGGGCGCCGAATTTACCTTCCAGGATGTTGCCGAGCACAACACCAAGAACGACCTCTACATGGTCGTGCACGACAAGGTCTACGACTGCACCAAGTTCGTTGACGAGCACCCGTGAGTTTTTCCCTGGGCTGCCAAACCCCACGCCAGCACCGTGCCCCTCTCACACACACCGACTAACCCCTATTTTCCTCCACAGCGGCGGCGAGGAGGTCATGCTTGACGTCGGCGGCCAGGACGCCACCGAGGCTTTCGAGGACGTGGGTCACAGCGACGAGGCGCGCGACACGCTTGCGCAGCTCGAGGTCGGCACCCTGAAGAGGCTGGTATGTACTATTTCCTCTGACAGCCCAACGCTCCCCCACTCCCCCAGGTCTCGCTCCCCGCGATGAAACCAAGAGCAGAAGAAACTGACACTGCTCTACGACAGGCCGGCGACCCTGCCCCCAACAAGCCCGCCGCCAGCACCTCCAGCTCCAGCAACAACGCCGACACCTCTGGCATCGGCATCGGCCTGTACGCCGTCCTCCTCGTCGGCGGTGCCGCCGCCTACGGCGCGTACCAGTACCTGCAGCAGCAGCAGCAGCAGCAGCCCTCGGCTTAAATGACGGGCGGCTTCTGTACGATTCATGTCTTCACACAATTATACACACACAGACGGACTCGCGACGGTGCTGGCCCGGCGGAGGCGGAGCCAAATGTGCATCCTCTTCAATGTCGGGCCCAGGCTTGCGTTCTGCTGTCGGGAGAGCGCAGAAGGTCGCTGCCGCCACGCATGCCGCGGCGGATAGGGAAGGCTATGATTTAGGCGTTTCCTACTTTTGAAGTCACCGAGGGGGGTCGGTTCGGCTTTATGGGACGCTCATCAGCGAGATAGAATTTTTTTAATATAGACATGTTACTCGATGGATTGATGCTTGCGGACTGTTCGTCGAGGCTGCTGCCAACATTCCGCCGTTCTGCTACGAGCATATGCCCGTTGAAGAGCTGTGACTGTCCATCGCATATACTCGCTTCTCATTAGCCTGGGCTCATCAAGCCCCGTGCTGCAAGTGCGTTCAACTATAAGTTCATGGCAGGGACTGCGCGTTTCAACAGCTTTGACTATGGACCTCTGGCACTGTCCGCGATATGAATTGATAGATGATGTTTAGAATCACTGACCAGCCTCATTAAGAATGAGTGAGGCGACTTGTGGATGGGCAGTTCATCAGAGGCCATGCATGTCCTTTCTTTCGGTTGGCACTATCAACTTATTCGTATCGACTGTCGACCAAGGTTGATGTCAAACAGGGCTCCCTACTGTCCACATTTCACTGTGTGAACCATACATGAATTGTAGAGCACAGGACGACAAATGAATAAGATGCCCGATCCGTAGATCTAAGAAGTAGCGAAACTTCGACAGTCACCTAATTTGAACCAAAAGACCAGCAGAAACCATCACCTCGGCCAGTATTACCTTGAAGTAACAGCTTTTATCAGTAGAACCCAGCCAGAGCAGCGGATACCCACTCCCCTGTGCACGTCCCTCATTGCCCCATTTGCACAGGTTTCTAGCGCCGACAGAAAGTGCTTACTAAGCAAACAGATCCCTGCCCGGAGCACCATGTCTAGGTCCAGTGACGACCTACATGTCCAATCCAGCAGCACAGCCATCTCGGACCCTTCCGAAAGAACAGTCTACAACCATCACCGCGGCCAGTCCTGGCACGATAGGACTTTACAGATTGCCCAAAGGATCGCCAAACAACAGATCATCCTCGACACTGACACTGCCGACCGGAAGAAAGCTATTCGCAGGCGCACCGACGATAAAGAAGCTTCTATCCCAGCTCCGGCCTCGACAAGCGCCTCACTCCGCGCACGCGACTCTGTCAGCGCACACGATTCGGTCAACGCTCGCAGGAAGAGATCCATCTTCCTTCAGAACGCTCTTGGGAAGTTCAGCCAGCACTCCGATCTTAGGGTACTTCGCCAGCCCATCGTCGAGCAGCCTGACCCTTCGGCGCCCGCGACCAGGCGCATTCAGGACGACGCGGCGACTACTCGAGCCCGCAAGCAGACCATCGAGCCCGAATCACCTGAGACTGCTGTCTAGCCAAGCTCCAGCGTCGCCAACGATAGCGCGTTAGTGAAGGCGCATTGAGGAAGCTCTCTGGCAGCTTGAGGTGCCGATCAGGACGACATCCGAGTCTTGGGGACTGTCGACCTAGTTTGGGCTTTGGTCGAACCGTTCCACCAATCTTCTGGCGAGGGCGCTATCCTTCGCATCGCCGTGGGTGTATCACCTCTGCACGCCCGAAGAAGGACCTCTGTTACCGGACAAATCCTCATCCCGGGCCCTCTCCTCATCACCACTACACAACCACGATCATGTCGTACCTCGAGAAGCAAAAGGCCGGCTTCAGCAGCTCCCTCGCCTCGGCGTCGGGCAAGCTGAGCGTCAAGACGTCTGCCTTCACGCCGACGCCGGCGCCGGTCAAGAAGGAGCCGAAGCGCAAGATCCCCGTCGACGGCGACGACAACATCAACACGATCATCCTGCTCATGACGTACATCCACGAGTACCTGCGCGCGCAGACGGAGCCGAAAAAGGCGCAGGACATCATCGACAATCTCGAAAAGGAGGGCCACCTGCGCAACCCCAGCTTGTCCAAGTGCCAGCGCATCATCGACGTGCTGCGGCACCAGACGGTCGTCCAGTTCAAGGCCGACCCGTCGCTGACGGAGCAGAAGTGGGACTCGGGCACATACTTCTACCTCGGCAAGCTCGGCGGCATCAAGGACAAGGTCGGCCTGCTGGGCCACCTGCAGGCGAAGAGCAGCATGGAGCCGCTGCTGTACAAGGAGCTCAAGGAGGGGTGGCCGCAGTGCGACGCCGCGCTCGCCGAGCTCAAGCGCGAGAACAAGATCATCACCGTCGAGGACAAGAAGACGATCAAGCACATCTTCATCGACGACCCGACGCTGCGCCACACGGTCGAAGACGATTTCAAAAACATGTGGAAGCGCGTCGTCGTGCCGAGCAACGACGATATTGTTAAGAAGCTCGTCGCGGCCGGGCAGAAGCCGGCGAGCGCCGACCCGAACCTCGTCAAAAAGATCGACACGAAGAAGATCAAGAAGAGGGCGAACCGGCGGTCGGCCATGACGACCAATGTGCACATGCAGCATCTGCTCAAGGATTTCAGCGGCGGCAAGAAATGAGCTGGCTCGCCTGCCAGGCCTTGCAGGGCCGCCATGGCATGCCCGGGTGGGATGAGCTACACGGCAGACAGGCGTTTGCTGATTTCGGCGTTGGGTCGGTGTTTCTTCACATGGGAAAAGGGTTAAAAGGCAAAGAGAAAAGCCTGTGTATAGGTATGTGTAGACGGTGCAACCTGGCAGGTGTGGCAGGTATCAATGATAAAAAGACAAAGCATCGTATGTATTCCCACCGCCCCCCCCCTTCCCCTACCCATGTCCCTGTCCCTCATGATGTTACAAATGACGCTCCACGCTTTGATCAAACCACATATCCATCGCCTCCCATCTTCACACAAGAACTATTACCACCCAAACCTAAGAAAGCCTTCATGCGTCTAGTATGCTACTCAGCCACATGTCACTTCCTCGACTCCCCTGCCTCGTTGCCCCTTCGTAGTGACTTCTGCCGCCGCTACCGCCCGCTCCTCCAGCTGCGACGCCCCTCGCTGCCTTCTCGAAGACGCCAAGCAACAATTCAACGCCCTGCATGCCGCCGACCCTCCATTGACCCTGTATGGTCATGGTCGGGACTCCCTCGACGCCCCTCTCCCCCCTCGCACGCGCTGCCTCTTCGTCCGTCCCCCGACGGCTCTCCTCACTTTCGAGTACGTCATGTGCCTCGGCGCGTTCCAGACCCGCCTTGACCGCGAGCTCGAGGAGAACCTCTCGGTTGGAGACGTCGAGACATCGAGCAAAGTAGGCATTGAAAAGAGCGTCGAGAAAGCGGGACTGTGGTGTGGAATAGGCAGGCATGGCGCCGCGGGGCTGCGCGTAACCGTGGCCGGGGACTGACGGGAAGGGTGCTGAGGAGCTTGTGGCTCTCGGAGACGGGGTCGATGCTGGCGACGACGACTGGGAGCGAGCGAGGTGGCGTAGGAGCTGGTGGGCCGGGCGGGAGTTCCCTGCTCTGCCAGCCGTGAAGGACGCGGGGGACAGCGTCAGGCGGGCCTCCTGGGCGGCGGTCGTGAGGCGGGACTGAATATCTGGCGCAAAGGGGTAAAGGGGCGCTCGGGGTTGGTCTGGTGTGTGTGTCAATGAGAATGGCTCGTGCTTTCTTGGCGAGAAAGGAGGGGACATGGCAGAGACAGGCAAGACGGGAAGGATCAGAACAGCGGAAGAAGGGGCCATACTAGTTGGAGGCAAGTTGGGGTACAGGTAGAAGGGCTTCCACACCACATGGAAGACAGTATCAGGGTCGCGCTCGCGGTGCAGGGCGATGGCGCGGTCGAGATTGGCTTTGGCGACGTAGCACCAGGGACAAAGGGTGTCGGAAACGACTTCGATGTGGATCGTGACCATGGTGATGCCAGGCACCTATGCAAAAAACTAGGTAGATCGAGTATTGGTAAAGACTCTGAACGAGCAAGGCGAAGAAAGTAATCAAGCCCACAGAGCTAAGAGCAGGGCGATCTAGAACACAACGCAGAGGGACCATGCTATGTGCCGTGTGCCATGTGCATCGCATTGCATCGTCGAGGGAAGGCAGACACGGCCCAGATATAAGACGGGAAGCCGAGCTTCTACTAATCAACCGGCAATTGAGGGTCATCGGACAGGAGGGGCGCGGCGTCCCATCTCATCTGGGCTTAGTTGCCTTGCCCTTGAGGTACCTCAAGGCATCTAGGTAAGGTAAGGTACCTCAAGGTGACGAGGTGAAGGAGGGCAAGGCAGGTGAATCCGCGCGCATGGAGGAAACAGGGTCCAAGTGTCCCTGCCGCGGCCAGGGTAGCTCGAGCGAGCTGTTGCTCTCCTTCTTGCCCAAACTGTTTCGCGGAGCCTGCAGGAGGAAAGGTCGGGCAAGAACAGATGACCGAAGGCAGGCACGAGAAGCGACGAGCGACGAGCGACGAGCGACGAGGGATGAGCCCGAGCAGGGGACAAGGCGGATGTGAGAATCCCAGACCCATGATACCATCTCACACCACCACGACGCATCCTCGTGGAAAGGATGCCAGACAGAGCAATCAGGTATCAGAAAAGCATCAGAATTGGACTAGCTGGTCCCAGCAGACCGGCGCCCCCGCGCGCCGCGCCGAAGAAAGTCGGGATTCCAGATCGATTGGTACGTAGTCCCGATCGCAGGGGGCCGTCCGAACGGTAAATCAAAAACATGCGAGCAAGAAAAAACGTACGATGCACAGTCCCAGCCGCTCCAGCGTGGCGGCCACGCGCCCATCCACCTTTCCATCCACCCTGTCCACCCCTCTTTCGGAAAAAGCAAAACCAGGGGCCAAAACGAGGGAAAAAAACAATGGAGGGAGACAAACACCCACACCCTCGGGGCCATGGAGGCGTCCAGGCCTCCTCGTGTCAATTCTGTCGAGTCAAACTCCCCTCTCGAAAACCACCTTGTCCCAGCGTCCTGGGCGCCTCCCCACGCAGCTGCTCCCACGCCAGACAGGCACCTCACGGCGAGGCTGGCTGGCGGGTGGGCGTCAGTACGTCCGTGAGGGGCGCAAGGGATCTGGGTTGGGCGATGTGCGACCCCAGGCCCTGCACTGCGGCCCTACCCCTGCCTGCCACGCACATGCACCATGCCCTGCAAACCATAAAGCATACGAGTTCACGCTGACCTCCGACGTGAACCCCGGGAAATCACCACAACTCCATCGGCCGCGATCTAGATTTGCTGGCCAGAGACACGGACGACTAGGGCCTGGCCTGTTTTCCTCGCTCACTGGACGTCGATGGTCCAGTGAAGACGTGTAAGCTGCATCGTTTCCTGACCGACATGCCACCCTACTGCATCGCTGTGTCCCAAATAAACCCTGCACTGCTGCGTATCCTCACCTTGATACCCTGGTTCCGCGGAACTCGCCCACCGCATCCCGTGATGCAACAGATGACAGTTCCAGACAGAGTCAGGGAACGCAAGCAAGGGGAGACAGAAAGAAATATGAAGACCAGAAAGGTCGTAATCCCACATACAGTTGGTCTGTTGGTCGCCATTCAGCCCTCCCTCAGCCCTCCAGCTCCCAAAAAGCGTCCCGAAAATTCTAGGGCGTTGAACCGAGCACTTGGGCCCAAGAAAGCGAAGCGAAAGCCAAGCCAAGCCCGCCAACGTGGCCAGCCGTCCCCCCCTTTCCCTCGAAGCCACGACGGATCGATCACAAATCACATAATCCGAACCTGCTCTGGCCGTCAGCCCTCTCTCCATGCCCCATCGGTTCTTCCCGTCTTGTTCTCAGTGTATTTCTCCTGTTCTGTTTTTTGTTTACATGATCCAGTCCCGCTCAGACAGACGGGCGAACCCTGTCGGTAGTACTAGCCGCAGGCGCAAAGCTCAAGCCAGCCAACAAGAACAACACCACTCACAACAGCCACAGGTACGAGCGATGGAGCCACAAACATCGGCATCCCACTCCCACACATGGATACAAGTCGATCTGCGTGCCCGCTAGGCGTCAGCCCGGACCCAGCAGTGAAGAGCGGGAGATCATCCCACGAGGTCGAGGCCCCAGCTATGTGGGCGCCTTTGTTCCCTCCCACTCTTTTCTGGTTCTCCCGCTCTCCCTTTGCCCCTAAGTCCCCTTGTTCGGACTGTTCGGCCTGTTCACCTGTTGTTACCTACAGGACCTACCCAGCACACATTAGCAATGGCAATGGCAAAATGGACACGCACGTTCCTCTAGCGCGATGCAGCATTTGTCATGAGAATCCCAGAAGGAGAGAGTCAGTCAGAAGCCAGTCCTGTCAGGTGGGTGGGCCATTGTTGTTTGTCCCTTTGCTCATTTTTTTTCTCTCCCCCTCTCAGAGACCGCTAGGCGGCAGAAGACGAGCTACCCACCTTACCTAGGTTGGTACATAGATCGGTGGTCCACCTGCGAGCTTTGATTCTCGCACACTCCGTTGTCGTGAAGCATCGGAGATCCTATGGTTTGCTGTCGATTCGGCCGATTGCACTAGTGCCCCTGTGTTGCATCTATCGTTCGCATTGTAATGTAGGCGAGACTGAGTGGGAAGAGTTTCACGCCGGCCCCGCTACTCACGATGAGCGCACCCTTGTCTCCGGACGCGACCATCGTCAATCTTGCCATCCCATACAACAGATGCTACTGCCACGCTGACTGAGAGCACCCTGATTTCGCTAGTGAAGAGATTTGTTTCTTGTCTAAAGTGATTCCTACAATACAACTTGTGCATACATGAACTGGCCGTCTGCACAGACCGTTCGTTCCCTTTGTTCCCGTTTCTGGTCTGTCCTGACTGGCCCTGCCTGCCTATCTGTCTGCCTGCCTGCCTTTCAGGTCCGTCCAAACCTTCAAGACTGTGAAATAGTCCGAGGCGATAGGCTGGCGGCCTTCAGTGCGAGTGCTGTGGCTCCGACTTTCTTTTTTGTTTGCTCACGCGGAACTCCAAAGCCATCTTCCCGTGTGCCGCGGGCCGTACAGAAGACCAGTGATCATCATGTTCCCGAGCCTTCCCCGCCGTCTATAATAAAAGCAAACGCAATCGACAAAGGAAATGTGAGAGCCGTAGACATCTGAGGCAGGCATGCGCGTGCGCTTTGCCATCCCTCATCGCGACTGTGGTGTCGTTTCCCGCCTTCCGAGAAACCAAAACAGTGGTGTGCCGCTGCTCCCCGGCCGTAGTATTAGAAGGATGCTATTGTATTTACCGAGCCGTCCCAGCCTCGCCTGTCTAGCCAATGCGGCCAGAAGCAGTGGTGCCAGGAGGATTTTTAAAAAGGAATCAAAAGAGATGCAAAGGAAAGACGACGATAGCCGTGGGTATCAGTGTCCAATGGGGAAAAAAAGACGAGACGAAATGTTGCGTTGTGCAGCCGCAGTCTCTTCTTGCCTACTGCGGCAGGTCTGGGTACTCCCCACACTCGGGCCCGTACCCTTCATCTCCAGCAGCGTTACTCTAGTACGCCGCAGCAGGGGGCTCGGTGCTCTGGGGACGGCGAACCTGTCCGAAGAACATCTGGTTGCCAAGGGTTGGGCCCGCGGGATAATGTTCAGGCTCGGGGTACATGTAGGCGCTGCCATTGTTGCTATGCGACGGCGAAGCGACGTGCGAAGGCGACTGCCATCCCATGGTGCTCATGTGGGGGCTGCCGCCGGCGCTTCCAGGGCCCGAGTGCTGCTCGACATTGGGCTCCAGTGTGGGTGGCGGCACCAAGCCGTAGCCGGTAGGGTGCGAGGTGGGCCGCACACCGTTGCTGTAACCTGCAGAAGTAGTGGACGCAGGGCTGCCGACGTGCATGTCGCGCTGAAGGTGTACCGGCAGTGATGTGTTGCCCATGTAGCCAAATTCGGCGTTGCTGCGTTGCATCTGGTCGGCGCTAGGCGACATGGAGAGCGTACGTTGAGCCGGCGAGGGAGTGGTCATAGGAGAACCGCGGTTGGACATGGAGTCGCCGTCAGAGCGGGTTGATCCCGGTTTCACGCTGGCGCGGGCAGCAAGCGCGGCGGCAGTAGCGGCAGCGGCTTCTTCAACGGTACCAGTGTGGTGGTTCTGGTGGCGGGTCAAGGTCGTGCGGCGCGTGAAAGTCTTCTGACAATCGGCATAAGGGCACTTGTAAGGACGCTTGCCCGAGTGAATGCGGCGGTGACGGGCGAGAGAGCTGCTGTCGCTGAAGGGCTGTGAATGGTCAGTTTAAAAAGCCCGAAAAGGGAGAGTACGGAGAAGCATCGTACCTTTCCACAACGCTCGCACATGTGTGGCTTCTCACCAGTGTGCACACGCTGATGGACCGTGAGGGCGGACCGCTGTATAAACTGCTTGCCGCAGTTGGGGTAGTCACAGACATGGGGGCGAATACCGCTGTGGATGCGTTCTAAACAGGTTAGCATGTAATACATGTCTACGACGCGCAGATCAGCTACATACCGTGACGAGCGAGATCGCTACGACGCGCGAACCGCTTGCCGCACGTGCCACACGGGTAGGCCTTGACCTGCTGGGCTGGCTGCGGCTCTACAGGCACACCGGGAGGCTTGTAATGATGGATCCCAGCGTTCATGTCAGGGGGTCCGCCGGGCAGTATCATGGTGATGGGCACTCCAGCGTGATGTTGGTGCTGGTGCTGGTGCTGGTGCTGGTGTTGAGGGGGGGCATGTGCTTGCATCATCGGCGGGCCGTTCATAGGCACTGGAGAGGGATATGACCGGGGCACGCTGTCCATGTGCGATCGAGGGGCCGAGTAGCGGGAGTGCTCGGAGCCGTGGGGCGAGCCAGAACGGTCCATTGGTGGCTCAGGAAGGTTTCTAGCGGTCAACTGAGGGAGCTGATGCATCTGGCGTTCGGGCGTGGACCCAGTAGGGTGGTGATGAGAATGTTGCATGGCCATTGTG